AATTTCGAAAATATAGGCCTTTTATTAATATATTGAAAAATAAATTTCAACAATTCGAAATGTTCAAAGGCTTCTCCCTACGGTTACGTATTTCCAATTGCCATATATCAAGGATAAATCGATAATAAATATGAATTAGGTGGAAATGTGTTCATAAAATTAACGTCATCATAAATACCAAATTATAATATATTTAGATAATTATTTTACCTCATTTAAAAGTTTGTCAAACATATATATTTAAAACTGGAACCAGAGTTGGGCAGGTCTCCAGAAAAACAATCTAGATACAGATTCAAAATACTCTAAAGATTCAATATAAAAGATACCTGTAACTTTTGCTAAATGAGAGTATTTTAAATACAAGATACTTTTATAAAATTATCATTACCAATTAAATTAGAATAGTTTATAAAATACAATTTTTATTATTTATTGGTGAAGAACATAACATACGCATATAATATGAGTATTTACAATAAATAATAAAATATTTAATCACGAGTTAATTATAATAATCAGACATTTTAAAATTAGTTTTAGCACATTCATAGCATAGACAGGTAAAGGAGACTTGTAATTTTAATGGGAGTTGAAATATTAGTTTGCAAAAGAGTATTTAAAATAGATTAAATCAATTTTTTAAGATAATCATTTTTTCAAATAATTTATCATTAAGCCTTTGCCGTTTCGGCTTATTAAACCTAAATCTATAAGTTATTAAAATATGGATGTGATAAAGATCCCAAAAAAATTTCATATTCATTATCATATTCCCAAATCTTATGCCCATACGATCTTGGACAGCTTTTATTAAAGGTAGACAAATTGCAAACTTAAATTTTTAGGTTTACCAAAGTCACCACAAATAGTATTGGTACTAATTCTCCATAAAATGTACTACTCTGCCCTTATGAAATTGCTACTGGCTAAAACCTTAAAATATTTCTCAATATAAACAATATTTGCTTCTTTAAAAATGTGACATTAAATGTTTCAAATAATAAATTTAACATACTACCGTATAGGCTATTCCACTTGGGTATGAAATTTTCACCTGATTACCATTATCTTTTTATAATAATAGGGCCTCACATAAGCATTCCATAATTTTGTACATATTTGTTACTCCATAGTGAATCCTTCCAAGATTCCCTGGGTTTGATAGTGCAGAAAGACTATCTTTAATGGCAATAAAGGATGAAGTGTAGCAGGCACACCTGATGTGCATGGTTAATATTATTTTGTTTATTTCATCTAAAGATAAACATTTTAAATTTTGTACATCCTCAACTTAAAAATCATTGTCAAGATCATTTAATTTTAAACCATATTCAGTAAATTACTTGACAAAATTGAATACATTATGTAGCAATTAGTTTATCAGAAATTCCATACTCTCTATTAACTTCTTCCAATAACTGCAATTTTATCAAATGAATGTGTTTCAGGCGTTTATTTGCATAAAACTACAGGTTTTTGCATAACACAAATCTGCTGTGGTGTTGATTGAACCTTTAAACTACTTTTTGAAGTATCTACTTGATTCTCAGAAATTTTCCCAATTATTCTCTCCAAATATCTCCTTAAAAATATTTTAAATGATTCAACATTACTAAGAATATCATATCAATATTTATCTATATATAAATTGCATAACTTTCCATCATTGTGATAATGAAGAAAGGGAAGGCATCGGGTTTAACGATGGTGGTATCAGAGATGTTTAAAGGTTCTGATGATTTAGGGATTGAATGGTTAATGAATTTAGCAAATCAGATTGTCACAGAAGGTACTATTCCCGAGGACTGGCGAAGAAGTATAATTATCCCAGTATACAAGGGGAAAGGTGATCCTTTAGATTGTGGGTCTTACAGAGCTATTAAACTCTTGGAACATGCAATGAAAGTTTTTGAGAGAGTGTTAGAAAAGCGGATAAGGGAACAAATCAAAATTGATGAAATGCAGTTTGGTTTTACATCGGGAAAAGGCACGACAGATGCAATTTTTGTGGTGAGACAAATTCAGGAGAAGTATCTTGCGAAGGAAAAGAAACTCTATTATGCGTTTGTTGATTTGGAGAAAGCATTTGATAGGGTGCCACGTGAGATTACAAGATGGGCCTTGAGAAAATCCGGTGTGGAGGAATGGTTAGTTACCGCAGTGATGGCAATGTATGTTGGAGCACAAACAGCAGTACGGACGGATCATGGTGATAGTGACAGCTTTGAGGTGAAGGTAGGACTTCATCAAGGATCCGTGCTGAGTCCATTATTATTTATCTTAGTAATGGATGTGGTGGCTAGAGAAATGCGTGAAGGACTTCCCTGGGAGATATTATATGCAGATGACCTTGTATTAATGGCAAACAGTGAGGGAGAATTGAGGGATAAAGTTAGTAAATGGAAGATGACTATGGAAGCAAAGGGCCTGAAAATGAATGCATCAAAAACAAAGGTGATGATTGGTGGGGAAAATCTAAAGATAGAAGAATCAGGTAAGTGGCCTTGTGGTGTATGTGGGAAAGGAGTTGCTAGAAATTCTATCCAATGCACCAGATGCCAGAAATGGGTACATAAAAGATGTAGTGGGAAAAAAGGCAGTTTGATGTTAGAAAGAATGACCTTTATTTGTAAAACATGCATGAAAGGGATACATAATAATGATAACCTAAAAAATGGTGGTCTGGATATTGGCAATGGGTTAACCCTAGAAAAAGTGGATAAGTTTTGTTATTTAGGTGATATGCTAAACGCAGATGGTGGTGTAGATTCTGCTGTTGTTGCAAGGATCAGACAAGCTTGGAAGAAGTTCAGAGAGATGTCATCTATTCTTACAAATAAAAAAGTTTCTCTGAAGTTAAAGGGGAAAGTTTACGTAAGCTGCGTGAGGAGTTGTTTAGTTTATGGCGGTGAAACATGGGCAATGAAAGCAATTCACGAAGCCAAATTAGAAAGAACAGAGATGAGGATGGTTAGATGGATGTGTGGGGTATCTCTGAGAGAGAGAAAAACTAGCAAGGAATTGCGAGCAAAATTAGGTATAGAAATGATTGGTATGGTAATGCGACGAAATAGACTAAGATGGTTTGGGCATGTGGAACGTATGACAAGAGATGACTGGGTAAAGAGATGCACAATGATGGAAGTAGGAGGATCAAGACCTAGAGGAAGACCCAAGATGACGTGGACAAATGTGATAGCGGCGGATATGAGAAGCTTGAATCTTACAAGTATTGATGCTCAGGACCGTCAAAAATGGAAAAGAAAAATCAGAGGGAAATACCCGGGTAAACCTGGAAATCGCCATAAAACGGAGAAGAAGAAGAAGAAGAAGTTCAATTAGGCTCGATGTAAACCCTTGACAATAAATGTACATATCAATTTATCACTTATATTTTGTGTTATTAATGGCTTTATTTTATTAAAGGCATTAAATGAAGCTGATATACTGTGTTGATTTATTTTTTATGGTGGTGGACTTTTCTGGATTTCTTCTGCACTCTTTTAGTTACAACACATATTGGTATAAATGCCTAAATAGCATCTCTAATTTTAAAAAATAATATATTTAATGTTTGACAAAATTTGTAGATGAGTTTGTTAAACCCTTAATTTTTTTTGTAGAGTTATGGCATTCAGCCTGTACATTGTCTTTTTTAACTTGAATTATTTAAAAAATTCCATCTATAAGATTGGAATGTTGATAATTTTTATCTATCTTTCTTAATGTTAGTTGTAAATTTTCAGACAAATTTTAGTTGTCAATATATTTAAAATATAAGGGAAAATAAAGAAATTAATATAAGATTCCTAAATAAAATAAGTTTATATTCTGTGATATGCAAATTTTTTAACATCAATATTAAAGAGAATCTGTTCTGTATCTTTTGTCAAGAAAATGAAAAAGATACAAAATTCTTTTCAGAAAGAAGGATCTTATATACCTATATTATTATCTTTAAAATGTAAAAAAGATACTAAGTAAAGGATCTTGTATCTTAGATACAAGTATTCGCTGTACTGCCCAACTCTGACTGGAACTGTAAGGGATAATAGAATAGAGCATTGTCCAGTTGAATCTAAAGAGGATATCATGATTACAGATTCGAAAAATCAAACATAATATTTATAGTTTGTTAGAATGATAAATCGGTGGTGATCGTTGTATCGACATTTTAAAATTAAAATTCCTTGACCAAATATTATATATATGCTTACAAAAAACACATGGCTGGAGTTGATCTAGGTAACAATCTCAGAATAAAAAAAAGAGGTAAAAAAATGATTGTAGACAATAATTACCATTTTTATCAATGATGCATTTGTAAATTCATGGAAAATCTGGAAATTTGTGAAACGAGATGAGAAGAATTTGCTAGTGTTATGCGAGAATTACTAACTCTTTCAAACACCAATAAAAATTGAAAAAAATTAGTACTAATCACATAAGCCAGTGAAAAACCTACTGTCATCTGGACATTATTAATCCAAAATTTTAGATGGAAAAGGGCATAAATTTGCCATAGGCACTCAAGATATAAGTGCCAAATATGTCAAATCAGACTTCATATAAAATGTTTCAAGGATTTTTAAAATATGGAAATATTTTCTCATTTTTATTATGAATTACAAAAAAAGATAAAGATTTCTGTTGTTTTTGATCTTGTGGTATATAAATATTTTTTTTACCTCTTGGTGGTTAAAGGTGCAAATATGCATTAGACAAGATTTTCTATTAGGATTATTTTTTTGGCTAATTTTTAAAAATATCATATTTGGGCATTAATCAATATAATTTTTAAAAATTGGGCATCTTTTCCCACCAGAAAAATCTTGACCATTAATGGGTTCAATCCTCCTTTATCCAAAATTTGTTTAAAAAGCAGGGAGAAAAGTCCAAAGATCATTAAATCTTAATGTCCTCTTCTTTTAAATAAAAACCAAAGAAATATGTTTTCCAAAAATATTTGTTTGTAATATTTATATAAAAAATTTTACCGTAAAAGTATCAGTATCATGTATTGATCTAGAAAGATAGGAAGGAGGCTTTCTTTCCAAACAAAATGCTAAATAATAAATATTATGGCAATATAATTAGCATAAAAATATCTCCTTAAGTTTATTTTGATGCAAATTCATAATAAATTCAAAATTTAAAAGACTAATAAAGTTGTATCAAAATTGATAGTTTTGATTACATAAAAAAAACTTTTGAATAAGCTATTGGTATTGTTATTTATATATCCATGTCTGGGTTATTATATATACCAACCATTTATAATTACCTATAAATACACCTCCCCTTAGAGCCCTGATGTATATATAAATTTACATATTGATCTACTTCACAAAACTTAATATCCAGACTAAAACTGAATTTTTATTTTCTTCTCTTCTCAAGTAAATATTGTTGCTTCGATTGGCCATAATGTTAGATATGTTCATCAATTAGTTTTTTATCAATTTATTTCATGATAAAAGTTACAATTTCTTTCTCTGATAGAAAAAAAGAGATACTCATATTCTTGTAATTAAATTTGACTATAATCTAAAAGATGTTAATCAAATTAATACAAAGATAAAAATGATATTAATTATAAAATATTATTAATCTTTTAAAAAAATTTTTAAAAAATTTATCTGAAGAACGATATTTTTAAAATAAAAATTATAATAAATTTAAATGTTATATTCATGGGCAATTAATAAAACAAGTTTACTCTTGATCTCAAACTAAATCTTGTGAATCTCTTTTTCAATAAATAATATAATTAAAAATAACACCAATTAAATTCTTAAGTTTATTTAATTCTAATTTATAATAATAAATTTAAAAGGATGAATACATTTACCATTCATAGCATAAAGTTCTGCAACTAATCCAATATTTCGGATACTAGCATTAGATGGATTCCACATATGAACTAGGTCTAAGTTCTTGTAAATGTTCAATACTTCTTGTTCCTGTCCACATGCATAATATAATTTTGCCAGTAATAATTCAGATTCAAATGCAATATCTTGCTATATCATTTTTATAATAGAGATAATACTAGAAATAACATATATATGATTGACACAAACTATAATTTAAATAATAAAAATTACTATTCTTGTTTATTTATTAAACAATATAAATTTTTTAAAATAATATTCATAATTAAAATAGTAAGATAAATTTAATTATGTGGTGTTGTTAGGGGGTGCTATAGAGGACTCAAGCCCTGAAATTTGCAAGCACATTCTCAAAAAATATTATAATACAAATTTTGAATCAAAAAAACAAAATATGATTTTTAAATAAATTTTAGATTTGAGCAACCTCAGAATTTTAGAAAATTAAATAGTCAAGTGAGACTCCTGAGAGATTACAAATTTTATTTTATAAATATAAAATTTAATATGTTTATATAACCTGATTATTTTTAACAGAAATAGAATTTATTAGATTGATGAGAGAATATTTTACATCTAAAAGATTGTTTAATGCTTTTGGAATATTCTTTTCATTTGGTGCATTATCCTCAAGATATTGTTCTAAAGCACACTCATTTTTCAAAAATGCAGCTAAGTTATCTGTTAATTAAACGTATATATTATAGGTTTAAGATTGCAAACTAATGTTATATCTTTATCAAAGCAATATAATATATATAATTTGGCGAAAATATTACCATTATTAATATTTTTAACATTAAGTTGATAAACAAGATCCGAAACTTTTCTCCAATTTCCTTCATTTCTATTTTTTTCTATATCTAACTCAATTCTTGATCTTCCCCTATATAATGTCATTCAATGTGTTTAAAAATTGGTAATGAAATGATGTATAGCGTTAAACGTTGTTGATTTTTTTATGTTTTTCATAAAATTACCATATAGCGTTATATTTGTTGCTGTAAAGTAACGTAGTTACTAATTTCGTTACTTTGAGGAAAAGAAATGCAATTCGTGACCTTCTGCTAAAGGTAACGAGTAATGGTAACGTGTTTCTTTTTTTTGAATAACGGTAACGCAAAACTTTACTCGTTACTTTAAATTTTTTATTAAAAAATATTTAAAAAAGAAATACATGTTTTATAGTACTAATTACGTTTATTTATTTTATAATATAAAAAAGTGAGTTTTTAAATCATATCAACTACCATACCCAATGACCATACCTTTTTATTTTAAATTCTCATTGTTAAATTTTCAGTCAAAAGGTAATCATGATAATATTCAATCAAAATTCAAAATAAATGTTAATAATAATATTATTATTCCATTTTATAATTTATTTTAAGAATATTATGTCCATAGTACTTACTTCTTAAGATGAAGATGATTTTCTCTGCCCCATTTTGAAGCATATTTTACACAAATGAAGAAAATTAAGGGTACAATACTTTGTAAACATAAATTATATCCCAACGCAAATATTTCAGCCTCAACAAGCAGTTTAAACTTAAAAAAGCATATGAAGGTAAAAAGATGAATTTTTATACATTTTAATAATAGAATATTAAATCATGGGTATTATAAAATAACCATTAAAAGAAGTATTTTCTAATAATATTTTGAAAAGTTTAATCATGAAATTAAAATATAAGTAATTAAATTATACTATAGTATTGGGATGTGATCGAACATTAAAAACCCAAAGATTAACAAAATATTGGCATTGGATCAAAATATTATATTTGTTTTAAAAAATATCTTCTATTTCATGTTTTAGTATTGCTATTGGTTTAACTTCAAATTGTTAATAAATTATAAGAATTAAATAATGATTCTAAAAAACTTTGTTTAAATAAATATATATTTAAATTGTAATATATACGTTATATGAGGTGAGAATCAGTAATATTATAAAGATATTTTAGCCGATATATATGTTTCGGATTTGAAAAGGGGTTTGCCCCCCCCCCTCCCTCCATCTGCGTAAGCGCCTTAAAAGTATTAATGATGAGTTTTAGAAATTTATTTTGCCTATTTATAGCAAAATATAAAAAAGCGATTAGTACAGATATATAATATTATTGTATGGAATGTGTTTATAATGATGGTATGTTTTATAATTTGAGATCTTTTTTTTATCACTTTATTTTTTTAAATTATGTATTCGAGATGTTATTTTTATATCACTTGTTTTTGATAAAACAAATTGTTTACATGTTTCTTTTCTATATTTTCTTTGCACGACAATTAAAACATTATTTATTATTTTTCACATGACCAATAGCCATTAGAAACTGGTCCAGGCCAGATTAATAAATGCGAGAACATACGAGGATAATTTGTAACTTTTAATCTTATTTTTATTTTACCAAAAAGTTTTCAATTTTATTTACTCTGATCGGATTTGTGTATTATGGTTACGAAATGTTTATGATAAAATTTTAATAAATAGCGATTGGCTTAAAAAAAATGGAAATTATTCAATTAATTACATAGTGATGCTCCTCCAATTTAATTTTCTCGCAGGCTATCACTCTTTTTATTTCAATAAAAAGTCACGGAATGTGCCGTGGTGTGACAGAGTCGCCCCAGGCCAATAATTACCTGAATTTCCTTTTATTTATCCCATTTTTAATTAACGTAAATAATGTCTAATATTTCAATAAAAGCCATAGGTGGTGTCTTGGTGAGGCTCACGTGCCCTGCCAATATTAAACCCCTCCCCCCCTTTAATTTTTCCTGTTTTTTAACTAATGTGTATGATATCAAATTCCAGGAAACGGGTTTGTGGCTCCAGCCGCTTCCTGCTTTTAAACAATTCCCGTTATCTTTCTTTTAGATTTAACCTTGACCATTGTCAAATCGCCCTCACTACAACCGGGTCCTCAAGTCTTCGCCCTGAAAAGTTCCGATGAAACGATCGTGATCGGGATGTAACCTCAATGGAGATGACATAATATGTAGAATGATATAACAACAATATTAGCCCATGCGAATATTTTACACAATTTTATACAAAGTACGAGAACATTAAAATAATATTATTTTGAGTGCTGATTATGAAAGCCCTCACACTTGATACAACTTAAGAAATAACTAATATTAAAGAAACAAATACTTACAACTATTATCGATACCAACCACAAAAAAAAACAAAAAATATTAAAAACACATTTTAGAACTATCAAAAACAAATAAGGGAAATATAATAGAAAAGACGTGTGATCCTGGATCATTAGCGTACCGAGGATTTTTCTAAGAGAGCAAAAATTAAAAAATTTGGTAGGCCTTCAACCTGCTTTTTTCTACCTTCAGCTAGGTTTTTTTTAGCCTATATATAGATAGAAAATATTTTTATAGGATGGGAGGTTAATTTTATTAAAAACAACTTATTATCACTATTTAAAATGCACAAAATTGGTTACCAATTTAATAAACTGTTATATTGATTCATTCGCTTTATTCATAATTATAACACCCAGTCAAAATGCAATCACGGAAAAAGGTATATACAGAAAGATTGTGATACAATGATAATATCTCCATAAATGTTAGGTAGCTAAAACTTAGCCTATTATTATATTAAATTAACTATACATATAAAATCATTATAAAACATATATAATAATTAAAGAATAAAGTAATTCATATTAATGAAAATACATATATAACTAAAGAATAAAGTAATTCATAATTTATTACATTATGAAAATACATATAAAATTATTATAAAAGATATATAAATAACGAATAATGTATTCATTTCATTATTATATATTACATTATATATACATATATTTTTATTATATCAACAATATAATATATATGCAAAATCATTCAATTATAAATATAATTTATAATTTACTACAAGAGATGTTTTCGAAAAATATGCAAAGTCTTTTTTATATATAAATGCCTTTTCCAAAAAATGTAAATTAAAGTCATTAGTATTAGTTTAAAAAATAATTAACTTACATTCCTTTTAAATTATTTTTAAGTATCATACATTTTGTGGGGAAGGGAGTGCGGAGCGAGCTAAAGAGGATATTTTTTATTAGCTTAAACTGATATTCACAAAAATTAAAATATTCCTAAGGGGGATTTCCCCATTGCCACCCCCCCCCCCTCCTTCCCTACATATATGCGCTGGGTAGATAAACAAGCTTTATGAGATTAAATATTGATGACAATGGTAATCATATATTTTTACCGGGAATTGGGGGTGGGGCAAATATAATATATTTGGTTATCGATTCTATGGGATGGGGGGGGGGTAGTAAAATTAATTTTTTAATGTTATTTTTAAAGGCTTTTTACATTAATATGGGGGTTGATTTATGATTGGTCTATTTTTTGCACATACTTTATTTTATTTTTTATACTAATAGCCAATTTATAGAATTTAATAAATTTTTTAAAAATTGTATGTATAAAATTTAAAGAAAAAATACATTTTTAATATTTCCAAGTTTTGAATATTTTTTATACATTTTATTTAAGATTATATAAGATTTAATACAATATTTACATTTAATAATTATACAGGTGTGTTTACTTTTCTATAAGATGTATTGGAACTAAATTACTTCCAAATATTAGAATAAAGAGATTATTTAAATGGTTTCATTTTCCGAAATTTCTTCAAAAATAGATCTAAGAATTATTTATTTTACCTTTCTACATGGTATCTATATGCCACCTATTGCAGCGGTATCGCAAACTATTTTATTACTATCAACACGCATTATGAGGTTTTAACATGTATGTATTCCTGTTGGTATTAATTGATTAATCAAGCGAAAATTAAAAGTGGTTTCAAAATTCTATGTATTGTATATACTCTTATTGAAATATATTTATATTCAAACAAAACAAAAAATAATACTAATTTTTTTTTACATAAGAAATGATATATATGTTAGCGTCAATGTGTTTTTTCCAACAATGTTTATTTTTACAATTTTAAATCATTTTTGGACCACGTTTTATTAAATTTAAAAATCGGATTTTACAGGAAATATATTTTATCATGTTTGCAATAACTATCTTATGAATTGTAGACAACTTTTCTGTCAATGAGTTATTTATTATCTATAAAAAATATATGAAAAATTTAATATAAATTATATTAAGTTTAAAAGTTTATGGAAAAATTGTATAATATTTATATTAGGTATTCCAAACATGACGGCATACATTTCCGGTAAAATCAGATTTTAAAATTTTTAGAAACGCACTGAAAAATTATATTGAAAAAATAACACATTGCCGGAAAAAACACATTGACGCTAATATATATATACTCTCATATTAGTCGGAAGTAAGAATTATAGTTATTAATATATTTAAAAAAAATTATGAATAAATATAAAATTCTATATTTGATTTATAGAAATGAGTCTATTTTTACAAAAAAACTTATAGGCATTAGAAATTTTTATAAACGCTTTGTTCCTATATTTTAGAGATCTACAAGGCCTGAGCGGTCTAATTATTTAAAAAAATATAAAAGACTGGGCAGAAGTGAAGGGCCGGGGAAAATATTGTGATAGGCAAGACAATTTGTATGCCATTAAAATGTTGGGAATTTTTTTTGGAATTTAAAGCTAACATTTTGATTAAATTATTTGAAAATAAATTAATATATACGCTAATTTCTTTGTATTTTAAGAGCATTCAAAATATAATATTAAAAATATTAGAGTAAATACAAAATAAATTAAGCCATTATTTATGGCCACTAGAAAATAATTGCCAACTAGGCCGCAGCATCGTCAGTCCGCCACTCAGATATTAAATGAAAATAGTTGTCGTCGAAATAAATAGATTGCCATAGAGGAGAAATATAAGCCTAA